CCACTGTCTGATGCTGGGAATCATGACAACTACTATGGCAGACAACTTCGGACTAGGTGCGTTCTACTAACTCCCCCTGACAACAAGAACAAGTTGCGACAACGAGGTCAACCCACTTTTACAGGATTATAGTTGAAGAATACTAGGTTGACTAAAGTATATGAAGCGAGGAAGAATGTTTCGGGGACTGCGTCAACCAGAACATCGTAATAAAGCAAAACGGCTGCAGTAGAACGGGAATCAGTCATCGGCTTTTGGTGAGATCAACCTACGAATCTCATCTTCATGCATTTTCATATAAAAAGAAAGCCTCCACAATAAAGTATATGAACAGGACAGCATATGCATACATATATGGTATAAGGCTAAGATGTATTTTGCTGTAGAGAGCTAATATAGTTGCTCTATCTCGTGTTAAATATTGTAGGTTAAAAAAATAATGTATTGGCTTATTGAACTCCATTATAACTGATTTACTGAATATTTAATTGATTTTCTTATATGATTGTAGCCAGTCACTCCTTTTGTCATTCAATCCTCATCTTTTTTTATATACAAGTAAATTAATGGCAATATATTTATCAATCTATTCATCGATTCATTTGTATTTGATTACTGATCATCTGTCTCCCCTGTTAACTTTAATTCTGTTTCTAGCCACACTATATTTTTATGCTTGTATCCTTTCGATTATTAACACATTAATGAATTTTTTTATCGCGCTCGTCATGCTGTTCACAGAAAGCTTTATTTCTATACTGGCACATATCTCATTGACAAAAATATATTTTATTCGAATCGCATCCGGCACATTTACCTGAATATCGACGATTGTTGTGAAGTCTCCTGGCTTATCTAAGCTGTATAGTCCACTCATTTCCATCATTTGACGAGTAATTTCGTTGGTTATTTGATCGCCCCACTCATTTATCACAGGCATGTTAATATCATCGATAAAGAGCGTCATCTTTTTGCCAGCTGGTGGGCCGTATGTGCTACCCATCCGTTTGTCCACATAACTTTCTACTGTTCGCTGGAACATGTTGGGCGTAGTGGCGCTGGAGAAGTTGATGGCCTTAAACATGTGCTCTTCCGGGTTGTACTTGCTGCAATAACCCTTAATCATTACAGTCTTGGCAGTACCCTAACAAATAAATAAGACCAAACATTAAGCATAGGATTAATGGAAAATAGTACAAACATGCAATTTGCAGGCAAAAAAGAAAGTAAAAGACTTGCTGCCGCTAACGATCATAAAAAAGGGTGAAGCAGTTAAATCAGGCAAACTAAATCTTTTCTTTATGTTTAAACATTAAAAAATTATTTAACCTCAAATTGTATTGCCGAATTCAAACTTAAATAAACCTTTAAAATATGTGACCAACCTGTTCTCCAATCAGCAGCACCGGCTTGCTTTGCTTTGCTATCGTGTGAATAAGATAGTCAGTCCTAGTATTGTCGACGTTAGGCACCAGGATGGTGGTATAGTCAGGCGTATGATCACTAGGATATATGTACTCGGGAACTCGGGTCATCCAATGCTCCCAGGCTCCCGCTTCGTTTACAGTGTACTCGAAGATAGTTTCATCGCTTGAGGGGTTCACTCTCGGAAGGCCTAGCTCACCAAGCCCATATAGATAGGTTTGTAATTTTTTTCGATCTGACAACTCGAGCAAAGCGCCTAGCGACCACATGCTAGAAAACAGAATCAAGCGATCAAGGTGATCTCGCTTTAGCTCTTTCTCGTCAACTCCTGTGAGTAGCCCCTCAAGTAGATCGATGGCTTGACGTATATAATTGCATTCAAGAAGCTGTGATGAAAGGAGGTAAATTAACGAGGTGATATGGTATTTTTAAAATTAAAAAATTAAAACTATATTAATTTTACTAAATATAAAGCACGCTTTTTAAATTATATATCAGGCAGCCAATGGGTAAACACTTCCAATAGAGGAATCGTCATGTCTTTTCATAACATTTTAGGAAAAATTAATTTCCAAACCTTCATCATCTTAAATGAAATAGGGTGAGCATAGCTTCTGTATCTGAGTTACTGGTAGTATCGAAAACCTATTCATAAAGAAATACTAAATTAGATCTCAAGCCTGTGAGGAATAATATAGGGTAACCAATCCCTAATAGTAGAAATGAAATACAGGGTGTAGATAGTGAAAATTAGGTTTGAGAGTAGATGGGTAGCTCTGATTATAAAAGATGCCGCCAACAATTTGCCTCATAGAAATTAAAATGCTAATAGTTGAGATTCCAAAAGTTTTGAAATTCAAACACAGCATAAATTGCAATTAAATACTAATGCATTGCGACAAAACTATTCAGATATTCCTTTGACCAGACTAATCTATGATTCGCCAAATATTGAGGCCTCGTATCTGGCTCGTACAAAGAGCTCATATATGGTATAGATTGTAAAAAACATCCTTATGAGAAGCAGAATTGTAAAGCTAGGTGGAAGCATTGCTTAAATTAAATAAGAGTATAGATCTGAAAATTAATAACCCTATTTCATTACACTTATCCAATAATCCCAATATAATAAATAGTCGATACGAAGAGAAACTGGGTTTTGCTGAACCTCTGAGATAAAATTGTTGGGGGGACTTTCATTTCGTATGAAAGTGCATGAAGAAGAGATTCATAGGTCGATCCCACCAGAAGAGAACGGATAAATCTCGTTTAACTGCAGCCGTTTGACTTTTATGCGACTTTCAGGTTGACACGGTCCACTAGACCTCCTCCTTCCTTTCGGATGATCTCGGGATGATGTCTCGTGGACTACGTCAACCTGGACGTCGTATTAGGTCCAAACGGCTGCAGTACAATAGGAATCATCCGTCTTCTTTTGGTGAAATCGACTCTCCTTCATGCACTTCATACGAAATGAAAGTCACCTCAATAATAAATAGTCATTAAATTCAATCAAAGCGAAATTCGATATGATCCAGTTAAAGATAAATAGGCATGTAATAAGGCTAGCAGTGCGTCTGAAAGACTTTATGTTGACATTTTTAAATATTACTTTATATATATTATATTATTATTATTATTATTATTATTATTAATATCATATTGTTATAAGTTAATATATTATATATAGATATAATGGTATAATATTGTAACAGATTGACATTAATATTTAAAGTGACAATATTAGTTTTGACATTCTTTGACACTCAGCCCTGACATTTCCTGTAATTTGACAGACAAAGGATTCGATGGATCTAAACAATATCTAAACACAAGGCTCCGATGAATTGGAGCAAACAGAAGACTGTAGCAGTTGAATCTAAATCTATGGCATTTTTCTGGGCATATTGACACTCAAGGTTCTTCATTTGCCTTTTTTGCGCAAATTTTTACTTGGCCTAACAATAGTAAGAATTTGCAGGTTAACAAACATCCATTATACAAATCAACGGCCCTTACCAACTTTTATAACCTAGTAAGCATACAAAAATTAACGAAATGATTAAATACGATTAAATTGGGTCTCCATATAAATTTGAGAGCTGAATTCTGACCTCCATTTTAGGCTCCAGATTTTGATTCATAAATTGATAGGCTTCTCCAAAGAATTTCTCAAAGGTCTCCAAAACGCTTGTCGAAACAGTTGGCGAACGCGTACGTAGCCATCCTATAGTAGTTTAAGATGAAGGAACATAAAATATTTCAATTTATTTTTATTTTTAGCATCATAAAATATATTCTCGTGACCATATGGAATAATGC